GTGTGGAAAATCTCAGTAGATCGTCAGTTTCTGAAATGCTCAGACCATGTTTGAAGCCATTTAAATCCTTAACCTTTTTCCCCCCCAAGTCTGATGCTCAGTTTCAACTTCAGCCAGTTATCTTGACCATGTCTAAATGCCTAAAGGTACTAAGTTGCAACATGATTGGCTGATTATAGATTATGAATAAAACAAAGTGACCAGTGTAAGTCTGCCAACACATTTAACAAAAAATAGTCAACATCTCTGTTCCCAAAACAGTGAAAAGAGATTTCAAAACTGACCTTCTCTTTGACATTTTCATACGACGAGGGTGAGACAACAGAGAAACATACAAGGAACACATCTGTCTGTGGGTAACTGAGAGGACGCAGCCTGTCATAATCTTCCTGACCTGAGAGCAGCAATCAAAAGAGAAGCAGAACAAGGACATTTTTTTTCTCCAAAGGTTTTAGACTGACAGAAATGAGAGAGAAAAAGTGAAACTGAGAGACTTTCGAAGACCAGCTTACCAGCTGTGTCAAAAAGGCCGAGCGTATACGGCTCTCCGCCGATCATCACTGTCACGGCATAATTGTCAAAAACCTTTGAAAACACAAAAAAGAAGTAAGCAAAAAAGGGCGGTTAATAGTAGTGCAGCATTATAACCATGAATAATATAAGAAAACAGAAATTTTATAGGTGAGCATGTTTACAACAATATGGCTCGGTCTTTCTTAATTCCTCCTCCTACCGTAGGCACATATTCTGAGGGGAACTTGTTGGTTGTATAGGAGATCAGTAAGCACGTCTTTCCTACAGCCCCATCTCCTACTACTACACATTTTATCGTCTGCATCTACAAAGAAAAACAGAAAGTAGGAAACATGACAAGATGTTTGCCAGAAACAGCACATCAGACAGCTAGCTAGACTCTTAGAGAGGAAGTAATACACAAGCACTCTTAGTACTGTCTCTAGAATCATGCATGGGTTCACATACAGGCAGTGAAACAACATGGAAACAAACACACAAGCACTAACTGTGACAGACTCACAGAGACGTGATGCATCTAACCAGCACATCTAAGCCTGGAATTAATATTTATATTCACTACTGAATAATCTGCACATTATTTTGAAGATTAATCAGTTATTGGTCAGTACAATATGAAAGGTCAAACAATTATAAACTTACAGACTGCATCCTCAGCGGAGGCCAATGGCCTACTTTGCATTTTTAAAGAAAACGATTAAACCTTTATGTTTTTCTGTCAATATTTTCCTGGAATTTGGCCTGGTGGAATTTGCACCCTCTTACTGTCTGACAGAAAAGCAGAATGCAGCAATCACAAACCCTTCCTCCACCTTGGGTGGGGGTGCAAAACTGAAACCAGCAAACGCCTGACATGCCTTTCTGAGACGAAAGACATGTCAGGCAGTGGTTGAAAATAAAAAAATAATACATGGAAAGTCTGATCATTCATGAATTTGTCTCTAATCTTGTAACTGCAATGATTTATAGTGTAGATGTGGGAATGGACTGCATATAAAGATTACATAACTTTATATATGAAGTAATTATTTGTACGCAGCATCACAGGATTTTAGACATCAAACATGCAAATACTCGAAAATAAAGTATTAAGTATTATGTATTAAGTGTTAAAGTATTACTTTACCAAATAAAAACTGAAAGTTTTAAATAGCTCAACCTCTGTAACTCTGATAGTAAAATGCTTACACATTACATATTGCAACAGCAGCATTTCAATGGCCATTTTCATAGTTTTGATCCATTAAGCTCACACTGCTAACATATTTTGTCCTAAGATAAGCGATAACATTACAGTTGGGGCAGGGTATGTCTTTTTAGGACTAGTGGACAAAAAAGTATCCATTATAGAATTTCAGCATCTTAATTCAAATGGCCTGAGCCAGAACTAGACCCTTACGCCGATGCTGGGCTTTGTGTTCAGGCTTTTGAAAATCCAATCATAGGTCTATTTGGACAGGCTGGGGTGAGTCATATAAAGTAGCATAAAGGGTGAAAAAGTCCACACAGGTACTAAGCTGTAGTGTTGCAATGGATTAAACATAAAACGTTCACATCAAAAGGAACAAAGTTTGAATCCCATGTGAAGGTAATACTTAGTATTAACTTATTTTTTTTTAGGTCAAATAAACTATTTGCATATTTAAACAGTGCCTGCTCAGATTTCTTGGTGCCACACCTTCCTACAGTACATGTTAACTATTAAATTCATCCCACTTATTTAAAAGTCAGATTTACTAAACATTTCTGTTGCTACTTTAATGTGCAGCACCTAAAACGACTGCAACCCGATCCACCCTTCATGACAAATATAATATTCAGTAAAAGTCGAATCAGTTTGAGACAAATGAATTAAACTTTTGTGGTGCTGATGAATTATACCAAGGCGTTTTTATGTGACTTAGACCTCTAGTAATACGACTTTTATTCGAAGAACAAACCAATTACGTTATTAGGCATAAAAGCGTACAGAGAGAGCATTAGTTAGAGCATGACAGCTTTATCAGTGATATACGCCACTCATCTATTGGTCCACATCTGTCATTACTGGCATTTATAACAGCTGATAAATGAGACTGAATAGAGCTTCACCTATCCACATAATGCACATAACCACACAACATGTGTACAAATATGGATGGATTGTTTCTCTTTTACAATTGTTTTCTTTCTTGTTTCTGTCAGTGCTTTGTTACCACGCTCCACATCCTGTTGCATCTTCCACAATAAAAGAAAAAACAGTAAAGAAGAGACAGCGAAAACATTGTTTAGTGGTTTTATCAGTGTTGACGCTGCACAGTTTGTCCACCATCGGGCCCTCTCCAACTTCCCTCTTTTTTTAAATTGCACTTCTATTATGTTAATAAGAACTCTACACATGTAACTAAACTAAATAACTACACATAAGAAATGTTGATCAAATTTGGTTGATATATTGGATTCTAAAATTGCCAAATATCAGTGTCAATCTTTAAAATACTATATCAGTTGGGCCCTAGTCTTACTTGTAAAAACAAACAGAAACATTTGCAGTATGATGAACAATGCTAAAAAAAAAAAAAATACAGAAAAAAATGTATTCCATCAAATAGTCTCTGATCAGATGAGACAAGATAAACTATTTATCCCCAAAACTGAGAAAATTGTTTGGCACAATCAAAACAGCCTAAATAAATAAGTAGAATAAACAAATGACAAACCATTTTGCAAAGTTAAAAACTACTTTGAAATAAAAATTTATGCAAAATTAGACTAAATGAAACAAAAACATGAAGGATACGGCTGTATATAGATAGGTGTGAGTTCAAGCAGCGTGCATACCGTTTGGAGGTACTCCTATTTGGCTTGTTATTACATGTGCAAGCGAAAAATTAATGACAGTGAATAGCTTCCGCATAAGCTGCATAGCGAGGATGTTAAAAGAAAATGCCGCCTATTAGCAAAATGACATTTAGAAGCGGATACTGCAAACACTTCCGCTAAATAAGAGCTCCATCTGTTAATCTGTTATCTGAAAGTTTAACACCTGCAAATGAGATGTTTTAGCCAACATATAAAAAAATAATCATTTAAGACTGAGTCTGACTGAATAAATTAAATCTGATTTGTGAACAGTGGACAGGCAGCGTGAAAATACTGTCACTGGTAGATTTCTTATTTAATTACAATGTACAGCGGGATCTAAATCGATCAAAATGAAAGTAATCACACTACCAAAGCTGACAAACAATCATGACAGCTTCATTAAAGAAATGTTTGTCCGCTCTGAATTAACCCTGATCGGTAGAAAACTTTAACCACCCCGCAGATTTAAAACATCTAGAAACAAATGTTTCATTTCTGTTAGACTGGACATTGCTAGAGGGACTTTCCTGCATGTGTCGCCTACTCTAATTAGCCACAAATAGTAGTTTTAAGCAGTTTTTGTAACTCTACTCACCGTTTTTCTTCCCACAGGTTAGGCGTTGGTTACATCCGGGTTTGAGGGTCGAATTACTTTGTGCGCAGGCGCATAGCAAACCGGGACCCAGTCCCGATTGTAGAATCGATACAAAAGAAAGAGCGTCGCCTGCTGCCCAAACTGCAACACATTTCTGTTTTTTTTCACATGGCAAAACAGCACATAAGGCATAAACAGTGTTTATACAAATCACACGAGCTTGACAGTGAATATTTTGTATGACCATCTTTATTATCCAACAAAGCCTGAACTGTCTATTGAAGCTTTCTTGTAAGATCTTTAAATAGTCTTCAGAAATAGCTCTTCAGGCTTTTTGAAGGTCAGTCGAAGCTCTTCTTCAGATGTTGACTGCCTTTTGTTTTGGATCTTTGTTTCTCTTCCTATTAAGATCTATTAAGTTTTAACTAAGGACATAAAGTCTGTCAGTAAAGACTGATAGATTGATTGTAGATTCAGCTAAAGAAATGCGAGCAAACCATATGTGTTAAGTCTAATTGTTGAATGTTGCCATTGTGTTTCCCCAACAATATGTTTTTCTAGCATGGGGCTAGTAACAAAGTACCTAAACATACAATTTTAAAATGGTTCTTTGCTAAGTTGTGTGTTGTTCCTTCCTTGAGTTAGTTGATAAATGTTTAGGTACAAGAAATCGACTGCGAATTAGTAGGAAACCGATGTTTAAAGAAAAACTTCAGAAAGACTGGAAAGCTAAAAAGATAAGATAAGACTTTATTTATCCCAGAGTTGGAAAATTCCTTTAAATTGTAAGTTAAACACAACAAACGTATAACAAGTAGTCTAAGTAAGTACTATGGTACAGCTCAATAAAATATAAAACAACAAAAATAAAGTATAAAACTAAAATAAAATAATAATATATTTAAATGCATGTGTATCAGTTACCTGTAAACACCCCTAATCTGCAGAAAAAGTGCCAAGAATTGTCCTAGAAGCCTCTCCGGAAATGTGTTATTGTGAAAATATGCTAACCGGAAGTTATCTTTGTTAGCTTTGATGCTAACTTGATAGCAGCGTTGCTTCCCTTTGTCAGAGGACTGACTTCCGTTTTTGTGTTTTCTCCAGGTTTCTGGAAATCGCTGTTTATTGAGACGCTACGATTTCTGCCTCCTTGTTAAGCAGTAGTAATTGTGCGTGGTTTTCGAGAGGGAGCTGGTAAAAGATCCCCCACTTCAGCTTAAATCGAGTTTGAGTTCATTTTCTATCAGCCTTTAAAAACTGTTTACCTTGCTAGCTGGCTCGAATCAGCCAGCTGAGAAATCACCTAGCATGTTTCGGTTCTTGAGTGACGTTGATGAAGATCCCTATATGATGTAAGTACTGACATTTCACACTTTTTTTCTTTTGACACTGGTGTCTTTGTGTTCTATAAGTGATTGGTAGCTATATTGTGGATTGCTAAGTTTAAAAAATTTCCACTGTCCCTTGTAGCAGGTACCCTCCGTTACTCCTGCCAGCTGTGGGGGCCTACACTGGTCCACCATATTGGATAGACAATAACAAAAAGGTGTTAGCGTTCAACAGTATTTAGTTATAACCAGCCGGTCACTACATTTAGCAGTCAATTGCTCTCATTGGATTTCCACTGTTTCTTTAAATCTCTTGTTTTTTAGGTTTAAAAGTGCTTACTTTTGTAGTCTGGCAGGTTTACATTAGCGCATTTCCCGCTGGCAAATGGATGAAAAAAATCCGTAATCTCGCAGCCCTCAGTAAATACAGCATATATGCATTTTTGGTTTTTTATTTCAGACAAAAAAATCGAAATAACAGGTGCAAGTAAATCTTCTATTTCGGCTAATCTCTCACAAACAAACTATTTATTTTTAGAAAAGGCGCACTGCTTGATCAATTATGGAATATAACCGCGATTTTATTCTGATATTTAAACACACATAAATAAACTTAAAAAAACATCACAATGCAAAAGACTACTAGTGAAAATTTCTGAATGGCATATATTTGTACTTTACAATAATGCAAAATAAATCAAAATATTATTTTCAAATGAAAAATAGCTATTTTGTTCATCTAACTTTTCATACAGGTTTTATCAAAATGAAGGTGTACCACAAAAACAAAAGTATCAGTATAGTCTAACCCAAATAGTACATAATTCTAGATTTTCCAGATGGTACTCTAATTATAGCCGAGAACTCATTTTGAATAAATGTGTAAGCATATTCTCTTTGCATTCATATCATTCTCAAGACCTACTGTCTTGCCAGTCTTGCATTCTTTACATTAGTGCATTTTTGCCTCAGGCAAATGGATGGAAATGGAAAATGCATAATATTTTGCTCTTTTAATAAATGCAGTGTAAAAGCATTTTTATAATGGAAATTAAAAACAAAAAACAAAAACACCTTTGTAGGTGGAAATAAACTTTCTGTGTTGACTCATTTCCAATAGGCCTTTTATTAATAAAGATGCAATGATTGCATCTCAGCTCTTCATCACACTTATTTTCCATTTAACAGATAAACATCAGCTTTCTGTTAAAACCACAGCACAATCTAACGACACAGATGCACAAAATGCAAATTTCAGTATTTGATTTGGGTCTTGATGTTATACAAGTCCATGTTTGGTGTGCCTCCAGGCTTACTGGCTGGTTATTAAAATAATTCATTGGCAGTTGTTTTTGTCCTTTAATATCTTTTTTCTTCGTTTTTTTAATCATTTGGTCTATTACATTTTAAATTGGCAAACACACTTTAAAGGAGCAACCAGACAGACACCAATTTTCAGCAACAATGCAGCCAGAGTCATAGAAAAATAACTAAATTGAGGGGCTTAAAGCAAGAACGGACAACATGAAGTGGGGACTAATTTTTGACAACTATTCGTTAACAACCAAACATCAAGGTGTGTCCTCACTTTAAAGCTGGTTGCTAGTGGGTATTCCAGGCTCTGGTTGTCGAGGTAACCCACTAAAGTATTTACTAACCTGCGATAATATCAATCATTGATATCCTGTGCTCTCATTGGAAGTCTCTCAAATCGCTCACCTGAAAGTTGAGAAAAGTTTGTGTCTTCCCACTTTATGCTGCCAAAGTTGTTGCTCGAAGAAAAAAGTTTAATTTTTAAAAAAGAATGAAAGAAAAAGAAAAAACAGTAGCAAAATTTCATTGATATTCACTGGTCACTGGTTGGAAAATCACTTTAGCTACAAAACGATGTGTCAGTTGATTGACTTGCTTGTTGAAACAATATTCAGATTATGAAAATAATGAAAACAAAGGTGGCTGATAACCTGGTTAATAAAGCAGGGTGCATGAGAGAAGAGTTCGCTGTGTGAATTTATTAATTTTTTTATATGTATACAAAATACACTATAATAGATTTTCTTACATTACTGGCTTTTCTTGTATTAAACCCCCATACTGAAGAAAATAATAAAGCAAAATAATGGTTGGCTAAACTGGGCTCACAAACCCAGTGGAACCTGAAACACTTTGCTGGAGTATTTGCCTTGTGCTTGAAAGTTTACAGTTTTCCTCCTTGTGTCGTTTTCAGTTTACCTTCACCTATGTGAGTACAGTTCACACAGCTACACTCAGTTGATTCATACATGTGAAATCGAACACAAAAGTCTGATAAATGCTTTTGATTTCTTCCAGGGATCCGTTTGCAGCTCACAGGCAGCAGATGAGGAGTCTGTTTGGACCATTTGGGATGGAGCCTTTCCCTCTTGCTCCTCAGATGCAGCCACATCGTGCATCACGCAGACAGGTAACAGACTCTGTGCTGATAGATACTTTGTATGAGTTTTGTATGTCCAGATTAGCTTTTTGTTTACTGCCTTTTTCTAAATTTTAAGGTGTATATTTGTCTTTTAGGCTGGCCCTCTGGCTCCTTTTGGCATGATGGGAATGGTTAGTAACACCTTCTATGACCTCTCTTTTAACAACTGCAAACACGGTGCATGGTGACTTAATTTTCATTAAAGGAATTACAGAACTCTTAATTCTGTCACCAGCCACATGATGATATTCTGACTGATGATTGATAGGCTCCAGTGTAATTATATTAGACTTCTTAATAGGTTAGATTGAGGTTTACATCCCCAAAACTCTGTAGCCCTGAACATTTCAAGGTATTGCACAACGTAGGTGGTGCAAAGTTTAAGTTTATTGATTTGCTCAGATAAGAAAAAATAGCAGCAGTCATAATGGTTAATAATAGCTAATGAGTTGGCATCGAGTGTCCTGCTTCCTGTACCCTCTCATCAGGCAGCTCCTTCGCCAAGTATGTTCTCTCTAGAGAGAACACACCGCAAGTCATCTCCTGCTGTGTCTGAACTTGCTTTTTCTGACTTTTTACAGAGTGTCAGTGTGAAACCAGCTCAATACAATATGGCAAAGCAAAATCTCTCAATAAAGTAAAAAACATATGCAAGGAAGGAGCTCGGTTAAATATAGAAAAGTAAAAAAAGTAAACCTAAATAAAAATGCAACAAAATAAATAAAGGCACATTACCCAGATCTGTTATTACCTTAAACGAATCTTAAATCTTAAAAGAATGACTGCTGATTTAAAATAATAAAATAAGTTTTGTCATTTATTATATGGATTTTATGATTATGGTGGTTCAGCAGTTATCGCTGCTGCCATATAGCAATAAGCCACCAAGTTTAATCCTGCTGGCCATCTTTCTGTGTTGAGTTTGCATGTTCTCCTTAGCCTGGGTGCCCCAGCTTCTTCACACAATCTACAGACATTCGTGTCAGTTATTTGTTTATCTTTGTTTGGCCTGTGCAGGGTATATTTCATCTCCTCCCTGATGTCATCTGGGATCCTGGATTAAATAAAGGGTTAAAAAATTTAAGCGGATTGCTCAAAGAATGTTTTCTCCTACATAATGTAACACTTTTGGGCGTTTTCCAACGACGGGAACTGCCGTCATAGAACATCTTTCAGTCTGTTTTTAGCATAGAAGTGCATACTCTATGTTAGATATCTGAGTGGCCCAGTTAATTGGTTAATCTTGAAAACAAAAAAAACATCTACTAGTCAGAAACAGGAAGAAGAGTAGCTATCAACACTGAAATTCTCCAGTATTGGTGGACGCAACAGTGTCCACTGTTGTTATTGTCAAAGGGTTCTAGACCACAGTGGGAAACAGAGAGGCGGAAAGGACTGTTTATGGCGCTGTGTAGCACCTCATGGCTGCCACGAGCTCCTGCACTGGAAAAGTGGTTATTGACAGCTGTGCACTCAACACACAATGTATGCTGCTTTTCTGCCTGTGGTTGGGGACTACTCGAATGAGAAATGTAAAGATCCTCTTATTGCTTGCAGGGTGGAGGGTTCATGGATATGTTTGGCATGATGGGAGAAATGATGGGAAACGTGGTGAGTTGTTTTTTCTTTCCAAATAAACAGAAAGGAATTATTGTCGTAAATGAAATGTGTGTTTCACTAGTTCTCCATCATTTCTATTTACTTTCCATTATTTTTCTTCTTCCAGGACAGAATGTCTGGTTCACCAAACTGTCAGACGTTTTCCTCCTCAACAGTGATCTCATATTCGTCAACAGACCCAGGGGCTCCTAAAGTTTATCAGCAGACCAGTGAAACAAGGACGGGCCCAGGGGGGGTAGGAATAACTCATATTAGTTCAAATATATATACGAAGTTGTGGTCAGAGCCATGTAAGTAGACCTGCTCAGTGGCTGGGGCCTAATTAGTCTGCTGGCCTCATTAACACCAGTAAGTGTAGTGACTGTAAATAGATTATGTACAGTATAAATATCAGAGATGAACTTAAGTTCATTCCTTCCTGCCTGATTTTGTAATCTGAAGTATTTTTTTGATTTGTTTTTTTTTTTGTTTTTTTTTCTTCCCCCAGATCCGTGAGACGCGGCAGTCGGTGAGGGACAGCGAGAGCGGCCTGGAGGGTCTTGCCATTGGCCACCACATTGGAGACCGTGCACACATAATGGCGCGTTCACGAAATCGCCGCACTGGAGACTGTGAAGAACGGCAAGACTACATTAACCTGGATGAGAGTGAGTCGACCCTGATTACAACACTAATCTTAGCTCAGGCTTCACCTACTATTCAAGCTAATTGGAATTGAATTTAAAAAGGGGGCAAAGGAGATGAATGAGGAGTTGTGACTTTGATGGTCTCACTTCACACACGTGTGATTTCTTTTTTTTCTTTTTGGCTCTTAACCCGGTGTTTGTTCCTGCTAGGTGAGGGTCCAGCATTTGACGAGGAGTGGAGAAGAGAAGCAGGAAGATACGCTCCCCCGAATGCTCGTGGGTTGGACTACGGCCGCGATCGACGAGGAGGCGGCCAGCAGCTCGCTCTTACCGCTCCTCCCAGTTCAACGTCCCCACCAGGTCATCGGCACGAGTCCCCCAGACACCGTCAGCCCCAAACCCGCCCACGTTACGACTGGTGAGAAGGTAAGAGAGATGTCAGAGATCATTGTGCCACTATTATTATAATTGCTGTAATCTGTTGTGAGCTTATTAATTTCTGAATGTTATCAGACATGAAGTTAAATGGCCATATTTTACTCTTATAAATACTTTTTCGCAGTATATTGGTTTGCACAGTAAGAAATTATAAATGCTAAACGTTGTCACTGCTTTTTGATTTGCTTTTGTTCATTTGCACCTTGAATGCTAGGATATTAAACAATGCCAGCTATTTTCCCTACATAGTTCTACAGAATGGTTTACTGCCCTTGTTTTAACACTTTTCTGAGACTGCTCTTCACACATGAGTACCTGCTGCAGTATCCTCCTGAACAATAGGTGCCATTACTCAGAGAAAACCTCCACATTACTCTTAGTATAGGAAGTGAAGAAGTTAGAGGTTTTTTTCCAAAGTCTTCCAAACTCTATTTTTCCAGAAAGTCTCCCTCTGCATAACCTTTGAATCTCGGAGCTTCCGTATTCATATATCATTAAAATGGCAGGGGCACCAGTTTAGCTCACTGGGATGAGCAGGCGACCATATGCCGCATCGCAGAGAGCGGCGGGCCTCACTGGCTTCCAGTGAAGTTCAGAGTTAATTTTGAAATATTAATTATAACATATAAAGCCTTATATGGCCAGGCTCCTGTATATATAGAAGAGCTTCTGAAACCTTATAACAGCACATGGCCTGTCCAATCTATCTGATCATGTCTCATAATTTCATCGACTTAATTTCAGCATTACCCAAATAAACCTTCTTACTGTTAAAAAATAATTTAAAAATAAGGTTGTTTTCTTCTCTGTTTATTGTTTGCACCGCCACCGTAGCCTGATCATTTTCTTCTAGGAATCTTAAGTCCTTTAGGCTAATGCACAGCAGCCACAAAATCCCAGCACTGTGTTGGGGTCTCAGTGCTGTGCAAAGGTGTGAGCAAGCCTATTAGTAGTCGTGGGCCATAGATCACGCCTCAGTAATCTATGGCCCACAATATAGCTACCAATCACTCAGTTTAGTTTATCTAATGCACTTTTTTGGCATTGTGTGTTTGTCCCTCCAGGTGTTCCGTATAACAATGCGACCAGATTGAAGGAGTTGAGGATTTCCCTGATGCTGTGAACCACGATGAGGACGGGAAGTTGATGCCCGCCATAAATGTTTGATATGACTGGACTGTCTTTACATGAACAACATATTACACACACACACACACACACACACACACACAATGGTTAGAGTTTAAATTCGTTACTCTTACACACACAGACACACTTACAAACGCCCCTGTGTAAACATGGGTATAACTACACTCACTTAATGTATAAATATATATAAACACTCATTCTCTAAACTTGACATGTGTCTTTGCCCACTGCACTAAAGTGCTACAGTATACAGTACATCTGCTGTACAATCCATTTTATGTTTGTGAAGACACTCGTGTGTCGGTGAATTGAATTGTATACTGATAACTAATTAATGTAATAAATAAAAAGTTCATTAAACATTGTTAGATAATTGCAAAGTGTGCCTCTGTTTTGATGTTTTGGGGTTGCATGTCTTAAATTATGGAGTGTTGTTTAAAGAGTTTTCCGATTCTGTATTTTTCCTTTTGTTTTTTTAAACCCTTGCTTATTCATAAAATGTATTGACAGCTAAATAACGTGTTCATTTGTGTCAATGCAAGTCTTACATACACATGCATGCACTCATTCATAGGTGTGCGCCCTCTTCATCTTCCCTGTGCCACCGTGTCTGCAGGTCATGTGATGTCCAGATGGCACGTTCAAGCGGGGCAGCCAATGAAAAACTTTCCTTTTCTCCAAACGCCCCATAGCTTCCCGTCTGCATTTCGCTCGTGCTGGCTGTATCTTTAATTACATCTAAGACTATTTTTAAATGCACATCCTCCCTCCGGCAGCGGCTGCTCCCGTCTACCTGTCTTCTTGTTTCCTTTAATCCCTATCATTAGATATCTAACGTTCCCCAACAAGGCGCCTTCTTTTCTGCTGTCTTTGCTAAGATGCATCCTCCTTGTGGTTGCTTTGTTGTCACATCTCCTGCCTGTCATCCACATGCACTTACTTCAGCTGTATCGCAGCGCTGCTTGGACCTGACAGGAAGCGCAAATGAACGTTTCATGTATCAGTTTGCTGGGACAATATTTTCATGTCACGAGTGCCTCTGTAGTTATCAGCAGTGAGATGTGTACGCAGCACGTATGACAGGACTGCGTGGGTGTAAAGTAGCGGTGTATGTTAAATGCTCAGATGGTTACATTGTTTCCTGCACCCCTATTAATACACAAATCCACATTGCTCCAGCTCTTCTACTCAATTCCTCCTTCCTATCTCTTTTTCCTCTCTCCTTGCTTTGTTCCCTCCCCTCCTCTGCATCTTCCAATGACTCACATGCTCACCCTCCCCCCGTGTGTCATACGTTTTCACCCCTTCTCCTCCCACCTCCCCTTCCCGCTATTGCTCCTCTTTCGCCCACATTCGCTCACTTTCTCCACCAGGCTTCAAACAAGCTGCAGGTAACGTTTAAAAAGATTGATCTGTTTCTTCAGTCCCTCCATCCCTCTCATCCCGCTCCCCTCCCCCATCTCCTCGTCGCTACCTGCGCTGTCTTTTGCTTCTCATCTCTGTTGGTCCGTGCTCTCTGTCACTGACTGAAACGGGCGAGAAATTGAGCTGGTTTGTGGTCTGGAACAGTTTGACAGATTTTTAAGTAGGTGCGCATCACTGGTTTCTGATTCATGTCTTTCTCTGTGTGAGTGTGAGCATTTTCCTTGAGAACCTCTTTTTCCACTGCTTTCCATCCTCAAGGCTGCGTCACTATCATCACAGTGTGTGTTCAAGTGGAAAAGAGGAAGAGAGTGTGAAGTCCTTGTTTTTCATATGAGTGGTTTTGGTATTTCACAGGCTATTTTCATACCGAGCTTCATCTTCACGCGCAGCTTTGCTTGCTCATGTGTTTCCTTCTCTAATTAAAATAACAGACTGAGTGTATGAGCACTGGATAAAATCTGCATTTGAAATGAGGCCAATGTTCCCTTGTTTTATTTATTTATTTATTTATTTTAACAGGATGTCTATAGTGAATATTGTTGCCAGGGAGATCTTGGACTCCAGGGGAAACCCCACTGTGGAAGTAGATCTGCATACAGACAAAGGTTTAGAAAAAATAAAATCTCTTGTTTAATGTCTCAAATTAATGTTTAGATTATTTCATTAAGGTTAACTACATCCTTCTCCATCCTCTTTCCTCTCCCTCAACCTTTCACCCCATTACGTCTGCCTCCTCTATCCACCCACCAATCATATGCTTCGATTCCAGGTCTTTTCAGGGCTGCTGTTCCCAGTGGTGCCTCCACAGGCATCTACGAGGCTCTGGAGCTCCGAGATGGCGACAAGACTCGCTACAAGGGCAAAGGTGTGAACACTTACAAAGATGTCTCCCCTGCACTAAGCGCTCTTGTTTTTCTGCCTGTATCTGATTTTGCATGATGGTTCTTTTCCTTATTGTAACAAAATGGGGACTAACTGGCTTCACGTTTTGCACTAAAGGTGTGACAAAGGCTGTTGCTCACATTAATGACACCCTTGGACCCGCCCTCATCCAGTCTGTGAGTACTTCACTTTGGCTCAGTTCAGTTTTGTTTACTGTACACAGCACAAGTTCACAACCAACAGTAACCTCAAGGTGCTTTCTGTTGTAAGATAAATGTTATAGTATTACAGAGAGAACCAAAAACATCACATGCGCCTCTATCACCAATCAGTGTGGGAGAAGAAGACTCCATAGACTGTATATAGAAGATGGGTGAAGCCAGCATGACATTGATTTCTAGGTTGGCTCCACATTATGAAGCCTAGCTGTATTTGTTTTGTTTTTGTTATACAGGCACACCTGCTAAGTGACATACTTCTTAAACTACGAGAGGTTTACTCATCCTTTTGGATGGGCCATGCTTCATTGCAAGTCATATTATTAGTACTGTTGGTGCCAAAAGGCAGAGGTCCTGTTCATTAAGTGGAGTTTAGTGCTTGAGGCCTAGCAAACAACAACTGGCTCCAGCTCATTGTGTTGGAATATATGCAGGTCAGAGTGTCCACACTCCTGTAATGTTAATTAGCCATAGAGACTACAGTCCCGTGTAAATATGTTATTTACCAGGCTAAGGTTTTGACTTTAAACTTGTGAGTCACTGTTGGACAGAACCCCAAGTTGCCATACAAGGAACTGCAGATTTAGCATTTTGGCATTGGCTTCATTTTGCTCAGAAGAAATCTTCAGCAGCATTTGGCTCAGGGAGGGGCAGCCATCTGTTGCAGCCAGTTAGGCTGTGGGTAAAGAGAAACAATGGGCAAAAACAAAGGGAGAAGATACACAGTTAATGTAGTGCAATAGTGACATAAAATGCATAGGAAGAGAAGACGATGGGAGTGGAGAAGAAGTGATCAGTGCATCAGCTTAAGGCTACATCAGTGTAACTAAGGCAGGGGGTGGCCAACTCCAGGCTTCGAGAGCCGGTGTCCTGCAGGTTTTAGACATCACCCTGGATCAACAAACCTGATTCAAATGATTAGTTCATTACTAGGCCTCTGGAGAACTTCAAGAAATGTTGAGGAGATAATTTAGCCATTGAAATCAGCTGTGATGGATCAAGGACACATCTAAAACCTGCAGGACACTGGCTCTCAAGGCCTGGAGTTGGCCACCCCTGAACTAAGGGATACCTCAGGGTCATCTAATCCAATACTAACTATAAGATGAATCAAAAAAAAGGGAGAGCTTGAACCCAAACCAGGAGAGATGGGCGCGATAGCTGAAGCACTGCCCCCCTTTAAATCTGGAGGAACCACAAGTAAGCCTGTATTGTGAGAGCAAAATGCTCTATTAAAATAGTACATGATGGGGATTCATCCAGCAAAGTGATGGGATAAACAAAATAATATTCAGTTTATGCTGCAGAACCTGATGAGCAGCCGAGCGGGACTGAAATGAAAAAATCTGTTTACTGTATGAGGAATATTGTGTTTTTCTTCCAGGGAATCAGTGTGCTGGAGCAGGAGAAGCTGGACAATGTGATGATTGAAATGGACGGCACTGACAACAAATGTAAGCCTCGCTCACATCTCGTGTGGGGTGATGGTATATATGTGTACTGACATGTTTCCGCACCAGTGAGTACCGACTGCATGTGTGCGTTATGTTTGTGACTGCCTCTATTTCGCCTCCAGCTAAGTTTGGTGCCAACTCTATTCTGGGAGTATCGCTGGCCATATGCAAAGCTGGCGCAGCAGAGAAAGGTGTACCCCTGTACCGTCACATTGCTGACCTGGCAGGAAACAGAGAGCTGGTCCTCCCTGTTCCTGTGAGTTTTATAGTTTTTAAAAAAATAAATTTTTCTCCAAACATAAATGACCAACCATAAAAAACCCCCCACATCCATCTGACATTCTTTTAGGCTTTTAATGTGATTAATGGAGGCTCTCACGCTGGGAACAGGCTGGCCATGCAGGAATTCATGGTTCTTCCAGTGGGTGCCGAGTCTTTCCGTGATGCTCTGCGTGTGGGGGCGGAGCTCTACCAGACACTGAGAAGTGTCATAAAGGAGAAATATGGTCAGGATGCTACAAATGTGGGTGATGAAGGGGGGTTTGCCCCTAACATACAAGAGAACAGTGAAGGTAAGCACGGCGACCACCTGAAAACAATTTCCTTCAGCCTAATCTAACATATCGCTCCTGTTTCTTCCTGTCAGCTCTGGAGCTGATAAAGACAGCCATAGAGAAGGCGGGCTTCACAGATAAGGTGGTGATAGGAATGGATGTTGCTGCTTCAGAGTTCTTCAGTGAGGGCAAATATGACCTGGACTTTAAGTCGCCACCAAATGCTGCCCGCAACATCACCGCTGATGAGCTGGCCGCCATCTACCAGGGATTCATTAATAACTACCCAGGTGTGTAATGTGGTGTGTGAGTACACATGTTCTCCAGAGAGCACAATGTGGGCACCTCTTAGTCATTAAAAAAAAAAAAAAAGGGGGGGGGTGTGTTATTGATTTCTCTAAGCCTCCGTCAGCTTGAATCAAAGCATCAAGGCTATCGCAGTCGACTCCATATGTTTTTTTCCTCCCACCATATTTCTTTTGTCACATTTTAGAAAGAAATAGTCAAAGAAAAAGAGAAAAGGGGCGGCAGAAAGAGCCTGGTCTCGCCTCCCGACACATGAAGCTGTTAAGGAAGATTTAATTATGTGCTACATTGCAAATTTGGCAAGCGGGGTACTGCTCTGATGTGGGTCTTTACCCTGTAAATGGTGTGCATACTATTTGTGGGCTGTGTGCATGTTTGCATTTGTAATTAATATCAGTAGATCTAAAGGCATTAGAACAGCTACTAGTGATTTCAGCTAGCCTTGTGTTTCTCCTACAGTGTTGTAATATTTGAGTCATGGAGGAAAATGATCTTACCCATGTGTCCTTCCCTCTAGTGGTGTCTATTGAAGATCCTTTTG